CTAGTAATGGGAACAGGAGCTGTCTCTGATATGAACTCAGTGGCTGGCTCTTTGATCACCTCCCCTTGAAGGGGGAGCAGCCTTACCAGGCCACAGAGGAAGACAATGCCACCAATCCTGATGAGACCTGATAGGCTAGGGTCAGAGGGAAGTGGAGAAGGACCTTCCCTATCAGTGGACTTGGGGAGGGGCATGGGAGGACATGAGGTAGGGAGGGTTTGGGAGGGAGTAAGAGAGGGTGCTACAGCTGAGATACAAAGTGAATAAACTAATTAATAAAAAAATATAAAATTAAAAAAGACATAGACTTTTACAGTTCACACTTGTTCATCATACTTTGTCCAAATAGACTGTTTCATTCTGTCATATATTTTGGGACCCAATCTTTCAGAAGGGCTCATGGGTAACCCTACCAATTTCATGAATTGTATCTGTTGTCTACAATGCTCTCCCAGCTGGCAAGGGAACCAAGCCACTGAACAGGCTTGCATTATGTAAGTTCAAACACAGGAAATGATCAGAACTGGGAATGATGTGTAACTGAAGCAGCAGATCAGCCCTTCCTTAACCTGCATCAGCTGCCAATAAAATCATGTGCATGATTTAATGACTGAGTCTGCTCTAGTTTAACAAACCTGCCCTGAGCTGAGAAAGGGAGAGGATTGCTCCTTTCAACACTAGCTCATCAATTCATTTTTGTAAAAGGCAAACAATAAGGAAAGTTAGAACAGAATTTCTAGAACCATTTATCCTGTGATGGTGTAAAATCAAAGCACTACTTTATTAAATGAGTTATTTTATACAACATGAACATCAATATAACTACAATTGTAAACAAATATACAACAAGAATAGACTGATTTTTCAGATTTCCAAATCAGGGTATACTGTACATTTACACAGAACTGTCTTTGCATGAAGCCCAAAGAGAACAGCATAGAAACGAGTGTTTCTGTAGCCCCTTTACTTTTGCTGATCAGCAGTTTGTTTAAAAAAGCAGCTGCAGGTTTGTTACCTAAGGTCTGGGACAGTAGAAGAGTCAAAGGTGTCATGAATTCACCTGTAAACAACTTTATGCCTGAACATCAGCCAATTCTGGAGGAAGTGGAGTCTTAGGGTGCTTGCTCTCAAAGTGGTGGTTGAAGGTCTTGGGGTCTGGCATTTGTGTTCTACAAACTGTGCAGGTATCTATATGAAGGCGGCTTTGGCAGCAGCCTTTTGCTCATGTCCTTGCTTCTTCTGTCTAGCCTGCTTTTTGGCATTTTTCTGCTGAGACTGAATCTCCTGCTGTCCAGGAGCCATATCCGGGCTGGGCCAGTCTAGTGCCCAAGAGACCACGCAGCCAGCGGGAAGAGGAGCTGTGCCCCAGAGCAGGGAAGGGTGGAGCCCCGCACTGCTTAAGGACCAGAGCAGAGCCCAGAGAGCAACAGCCAGCGCTGCGCATGCGCAGCCGCACTCCCAGTCTGTGATTGTCCTTTTCATCAATAGATTCTCATTTGCATTTGGAATTACATCCTTGTGATCAGACTTCCTCCACGGGTATCATCTGTGGACTTAGTGGGAAGCTTATTCTCTGTCTTGTGAGAAAGACTTTTCCTAGGAAGACACAACTCACATGTCACCCCAAACAGGGAGCCCACAACAGACCACAGTGCAGATACCACTAAAGTCCGAGTTGGTGGACTAATGAGTATTATTGGGGTTCCTTATAGGAATATGGGTGAGGGGTTGCATACAGGAACAGAAATGACCCACAGGTAGCTGAATTACCCACCACACCAACAGGTGACAGCTCCCAAAGCTGGGACCCTGAAGCCTACTGCACAGCCCACAGGCAGCTCAAGAGGTTGGAGCGTGTTCTTTCCAGGTGACTCTGCTGGCCTAAACCATTTGGGGGGCGTCAAATGACCTTTCCACAGGGGTAACCTAAGCTATCTGAAAACACAGATGTTTACATTATGATTCATAACAGTAGCAAAATTACAGTTATGAAGGGCAACAAAATTACAGTTATGAAGTAGCAACGAAAATAATTTTATGACTGGAGGTCAGGATTTAGCATTAGGAAGCTAATCCTTCTACCTTCTGGAAACTAAACATTTCAATATATGACCTTATGGGGGCATTCCCATTCAAACTACCACAATATCCTAAAAGAAATACAAGAACATTACATTTGTAACCTTGGAGTAGGTGTAGATTTCTCTAACAAGATACAAGAAAATCCTAACCCAAAGGGAAAAAAAATGTGAAAAGGTGTTTTGTGATACTTGAGTGATTCCTCACAGACATGAAAAATCAACTCAGGTAACTTAGATAACATCACATCATTGCAAAATGCTTTTGCATAACCTATACAAACACTCTTGTATATAAAAAAATATAAAAAAAGAAATAATACTTTTGTATGTCTTATGCTTTTCTATATTTCTTACAATATCTAATACAATGTAAATGCTATATTAAGAATTGTTATATTGGGACTAGAGAGGGAGGGTTGGCTTAACCATTAAAGGCTAGGCTCACAATCAAAAAATATAAGAATTGTTACGTTGTTCCAGGGAGAATGACAAGAAAAGGAAATCTGCACGTGTTCATTACAGGTGAAAGTGTTTTTGGTGGGAGAAATAGTTTTCATCTACAGTTGGTTGAGTCCACAGATGAGGAAACTATAAATATGTGGGCCTCAGTGCTTTGCATTAAACTTACATTTTGAATTTATATTTATAGGGATAAAACCTAGAAAGAAAAAAAGACACACCATAGTGTGGAAACAGGTGTCTTAATACATATCCTAGAACACTAGCACAGACATTTATCCAGATTTTCATAAACATCTGGACACTAAATTACAAGTAGATGAACAAGCCAAAGGAAAACTGGATAAAACATCCTGATTAATACTTTGTGAAAAAAGAAGACCTGAAAGTACAATGAACATATGTTGTTCAAGCTCATTAATCTTTAGGAAAAAAAAAAACAAATTAGAAGCTTAATATGTAGCTACTTCCTGCCCGGTATTATTTTCCCAAAGGAAGGAACATAAGAACAACGTTTCACAGAATGCTTGCTTTCTGTGGGTGGGAACACTCTTTGGTGGGACCATTTTGGAAAAATGCTGAGAAAATACATGCATACTCACAGCAAACCAGCAATTTCATTCTTAGATCTACATGGAATAAGAATCCATATATCTAGTAGAAGATTCATGCAAAAATATTATTAGAGGTACACTCATGATATCTTTTATCTTTTTCTTTTTATTAACTTTTTATTTTTTATATTAATTACAGTTTATTTACTTTGTATCCAAGCTGTAGCCCCCTCCCTCAATCCTTCCCACTCCCACCCTCCCTCCCTCATCTCCTCCCTGCCCCTCTCTAAATCTACTGATAGGGGAGGAACTCCTCCGCTTCCATCTGACCTTAGCTTATTAGGTCTCCTCAGGACTGGCTGCAATGTCCTCCTCTGTGGCCTATCAAGGCTGCTCCTCCTTCAGGGATGAGGAGGTCAAAGAGCCAACCATTGAGTTCATGTCAGAGATGGTCCCTGTTCCCCTTATTAGGGAACCCACTTGGATCACTCATAATATCTTATATGGAAAATAATCCAAATGTCTGTCTGCCTCAGGCAAGTAAAATGTGGCATAGCCATAGAGTGCTACAAAACTAAATAGCATTGAACATAAACAAACCTGTAAGAACACTGTCTGGACCCAGCTTCAATTCTCAGCACCTACATGGCAGCTCATAACTGTTTGCAACTCCAGTTCAAGGAGATATGACGCCCTACATAGACATGCAGGCAAAACACCAATGCATACAAAAATTAAAAAAATAAACAAACCTTAACCAAATGTAAAATAAATACATGTGCACAAATGTTTACGAAAAAAGATGAGATTGAGTTTATTTATTTAGTCTGTCATAGTTAGGGCTTCTATTGTGATTATAAAAAAAGTGACCAAATGCAGCTTGGGAAAGCAAAGGCTTTATTTCACTTTATAGCTTAAAGTCTATGAATGAGGGAACTCAGGGCAGGAACCTGGAAACAGGAATCGCTGCAGAGGAGGAATGTTGCTCATTTGCTTGCTCCCTGGCATTCTCATTTTTCTTTCTTACATACCTCAGAACTGCTGGTCCAGGGATGGCACCACCACAAGGTGCTGGACCTTCCCATCTCAATCATAAATCAAGAAAACACCCACAAGTTGCCTACAGACCAGATTACGGAAGCATTTTCTCAATTGTGACCTTCTCTTCTCAGATAAATCTAGATGTGTCAAGTTGACAAAAACAAACAAACAAATGACAGGAAATATATATATATATATATGTGTGTGTGTGTGTGTGTGTGTGTGTGTGTGTGTGTGTGTGTGTGTATACACATATGATTTAACTTTTATAAGACAGAGGAACAGATAAGACTTATTTGTTTTAAAGGGGAGACTAGAAGTCTTTGTAGTGTTGTGGTGTGGAATATGACCAGAAGGTGGCACCAATGAAGCACTGAAGTCCCTTTTCCCTTCCCCATCACCTCCAAAGGAGAATGTTCCTTAAATTCAGATCCTGTTCTGCAGGTACAGACCTGGCAGGCACTGGGCTCTGGTGAGACACAGTGTAACGGCATTCAGTGACAATTCAACAGGAATGAGGTTGGGACAGTCTGAGTTGCATTCTTTGCAAGGAAGAAAAAAAAAGGGGAATGTAAAATTACCTACAGACATGTTAGACAGTGAATTTGCCTTCATATTCAAGTCATATTAGTGTTACATACTGAACAGAACGACAACACAAAAATTTGGTGTTTGATAGTTTATATTTAGCCATTTCAGTGAGTTGAACCAAGTAGGCAATTGAAGCACAATGGCTAATCAACAATGAAATGACATAGTTCTAAAAACAAACAAAAAAACCCACCTACGTTCTGGCCCACAAACTTCTTAACAGGAGTGGCGGTGCTTAGGGGTCAGTGTAGCCAGTGCATGGAGATTCTGTACATTAACCAAAAGGCCTACGTGGCCCCTTTACTTTAACACGTTTAAATGGTTTTTTGGAGACCTTTGTCCACTTCTGTTTCTGCTGTTCTAATAGTTCGATCTCCAGAGACAGCTTGTACACCTGCAGGGCCCTTTTCACATCTTCTGGGCTTGAGAGGCACTGCAGGAGTTTTCTGCCTTCATTCACTACCCTGCAGTCTTCAAGGACCTCCTAAAGGTAATTTAAAGAAATAAGCAGGGCAAGGGTGCAAAGAAGTAGGTAAGAGCTGGTATAGTCTGAGAGGGATTCTTGGCAAAAGTGAGGTTGGTATAACATGGACATAAAATCAGGACAGGCTCTGCATCCTAGCAGGTGTTTATCTGCAGGCCACACCCCCAGGAGGAGGAGGGGGGGAGGAGGGGGGGGGGAGGAGGAGGAGGAGGAGGGGGGGGAGGAGGAGGGGGAGGGGGAAGGGGAGAAGGAGGAGGAATGTGTGTGTATGTACGTGTGCACAGGCTTTCAGAAAGATTTTTGAAGCCCAGGCCAGACTTGAACTTAGGACTCTGCTCCTATGCCCACCTCCTTGTTGCTAGGATTGTCGATATATACCACTACACCTGGCTCTATAAGAGCAGAAAAGCATAGCTGAGGAAGCAAAGACACAGAGCTACAAGGTCTACAGACCTCAAACATGGAAAGCTGCAGTCAGGGTACTAGGTCTAGGAAAGCCTCAATTCTAAAATTCTGGGTCCAGCCTTGGAGCAGAAAAACCTACTCCTTCAATCACCATGCTGCTTCAAGGCTATGACCATGAGTCTGGTAAATTGGGCATCCTGGCAGGAGTCATGTGACAGCATCATAGACTGGGCAGAGCCTTGGGAAGAGACCACATCACAGAATTTATGCCACTCACCAGCTTACAGTGGGGTATATCAGGGTGCCATGTCTTGTTCTCCGAACAAACAATGTTTGGGGAACCAACTAAGTCAAATCCAATATCACATTGAACGGTGACATTTTCCAGTTTAGCATAGTAATCTTTCTCCACAGACAGGTTTCCATTTATGATGAATGGTTTGGGACACACATCATTAGCAGAAATAAAGGGACCTCAAAATTGAATGAAACAATGAAAATTATGAGAAACTTTGCCTCTACCTGCATTCAGGTCCTGAGAAACGTATTCATTGCAATAATAACTATAATAGGTCCTGATATCTATTGAGAAAAGTACTATGCATATCTACCTGCTAAAATGTTGTTGCTTTATAAATTTTATCATTATGCCTCTATGAATTGGTTTCTGCTGTTATTAACATTTTACCAACAGTGAAACTAAGAAATGAAATAATTTTCTAAGTCTCCTGCAGCTCCTAAGTGTTAGAACCTACGCTTTGTATTTCTTCTCATGGCCTTCATCTATTGCAGGTGCTAAGGATGCACTTTTCATTGTCCTCATCTTTTTATATTCCAGAGTTCAACAGAAATGGTGGCTTTTGGGTGCCAGCAAAATGATGAAGGAACCAAGGACACTGAAGAGTCAGTCACATTTTATCTCATCTTCAGTCTACATCAGCTTACCAACCAGGAGCATCATCAGCTCATACAAACAGAAAGACCATGGAAGGATGGTGGCCATCATAAAATTTCAATGCAAGTTTGCAACACCTCATGAACTTGTTATTAACCTTAGAGAGTTCTCTCTCTTGGACACTTGGAAGGAAATGAAGGTTGATATGCAAAGTGTACTTAAGGCACAAAGAGATTCTTAGATCAAAGTTATCAAATCTAGTCTCTAAGTCTTGTAAACAGACACCCAACAACTGAGTAGTAGTGGCTGCTTCTGGAAATGATACCGTGATTGCCGGGCTCAGGAAGTGGAACTAATCATTTTTAATGTCTTTTTTTGCCATTTGTAAAAAGTTTACCAATCATATCTTAAATGTTAAATACGTAAACAAATAAATAGTAAATTTTGGGTAGACCTTAACCAACAGGAAGTATTGCTGTTATCATTTTGTAACTCCGTCTTCCATACATTGCTAGTGGACCTGGTACTACATTAGGGTGGCCAAGGCACCCAATGAAAAGACATGCAAGATACACAGCAAGTTCAACCAAAACATACCCTCCAGCAATTCATACATCTCAGTCTCAAGGTAGGGAGGCATCTGCATGTTGCTGTAACAGAACACTGTACTCTGGGTGATCAGCAGAGAAGTGACTCTGCTTAGATTCTGATTTGTGGAAATCTAAAGGAATGGGTGTTTTTATCTGGTTCCTTCATGCTTTGGTGGTGAGTGTGAAAGAATAAGGCATCTCCAGATGAGATGAACAAACAGCTCATTTCTACTACAGCCCATGCTGGCATAGCTGATTCATTCCCAGGACTAGCACGTATCCATTCATGAGGCTCCGTCACCTTTTACCTTATAACGCTGCTGTGTTAGGGGTTAGGTTTCAGACACATTAGGACAGGAGCTGCGTCTGAGCAACACCCTTCCACCTCTGGACATTAGGACAGGGGGTGTGTTTAAACAACACCCTTCCACCTCTGGACATTAGGACAGGGGGTGTGTTTAAACAACACCCTTCCACCTCTGGACATTTACAAGTTCATGTCTCTCACTCAAAAACGAATTCACTCCCAGTAACTGCTACAAACTCTTACTTGTTTCAACTTAAAAATACAAAGTTCAGAGTGTCATCTGAGACTCAAGGTATGACACAACCTGAGGCAAATTTTCTCCATCTGTGAGCCTGTGAAATCAATTTCTCTGCTTCAGACAGGATGTGTAGGACCAGCAGAGTGAATACATTCTCAACCAAAAGGGGGAAACAGATATGGAAAAGGAGACATGAGACCAAAGGAAAGCTAAACTTCAGAAGGGGAAATTCATTGACTCTTCTTTTTCTTCCCCCAATTACCATACAAAGGAAATGTTTTCCTTATGACATTTTCATACAGCTTTAATTGATCCTCCCCTATCTACTCTCCTTCACCTCTCTCCTCCGTCCTATTTGTACCCTTCCCCTCCAATTTTCATACCATTCAGAATTAATCCCACCAAACTATTTTCATAACATATTTTTCTACTTGTCTCTTTAAATCAGTAGACTAGATGTTCTGCTTCCCAAGGCCAGAGGCAAAACAATCCAATCAGTGGATACTGAAGCCATCCACCTATCCTTAAGGTATAGCTTTTATCAAACTTCTCTAGGCTTCTTCACCTGGTAAGACAGCTTGGATAAAGGAAAATGTTACCATACTGTGTGTCAATAAGCTGCGGTCATGAGGAAGAGCCAGAATGTCTGCTGTATACTGTTCAGGAAACAGTATACCTATAACCCAAATAAGTACTAGAGTATCTCCCAAGTGCCACCCATGGGCTTTATACTGAATGGGCAACGTGAGACATGAACAAATTCTCTTCAGGAGAAATAACAGCTAGAGATATCACATCTGTTAAACAAACAAACAAACAAACAAACAAACAAAAAATATCCCAAGTCTATGTGAGTGTTGACCAAAGGGAATATAGAATGGCAAGTGGTGAAAGAATGTTAATCATATCAATTATAACTCTCAGAGCAAAGATAAGTCACTTCTTTGTCTCTCCTTTATAATATCTTTGAGACTATGAATGGTTACTATTTTTCCCATGATTCTTTCTTATGTCTCATACCTACTTCCTATGATAATCTAAGTAAACTGATAGATTCCAAACTAGCTTTTTTTTTTTTTTTTTTTGCCTTGGCTTTGCTTTATTGACCTCACAGGACCCTTTGAATACAGTTTTAAAAAAATAAATAAAGCACATACACAATGAGAACTGGATCCAGGTGAGGGGTAGCCAGTTGGTAGAGGAACAGCCAGTAACAAGCAGCTAGATCACACATCCTTCTCGCGTAAGTTTGAGTGCTCACCACATTGCCATTGGTGAGAGTCCACATGAGTTTCCCATCACTTAGCTCCCTTGCAAGTGTAGTCTCCTACCCCTCCCACTTCCACACATGGACAAGTTTGCCTCCTTCCAGTGTCACAGTTGACTTGTCCTTTCTGTCACTTGCCATTGTGTCATTGAGCTCCGCCTCAACTGAAAGCTGAGCTCTGTGTTCTTGAAGGTGCTATGTGTCTTTATGATGATAGTCTCCCCTCTCTCCTCAATGATTGTGATAGGCTTGGTCATGCTAGCTACCTGCCTAGTGGCAAAGCTGACACCAAGTGATTTCATGTAGTCATCAAAATTCTGGCTGTCTACTAGCTTCCAGATATCCACAAAGGCATATGCCATGGTGCAATGAGAAAGAAGGCCTGGAGGCACTCAGAACAGCCCCAAGTCATCTTCTTAAACTTTGCTTTTATATTAACCCAAACTATGGCATGCAATAGACTCTGTCATGTTGAGGTAAGGAATCATTCATAGTAAGATATTCACATTGATGTATAAAATATTTTCAATGTCTTACCATTATCAGACAGATACTTATTGTTTTTAATGTTTATTTCTGGTAACTGTGGTGAGGTAACAGCAAGAAGGTTTTTCAGGTCTGAGTCAGAACAAGAAAACAAAAAGGTTGATGTCAGTCACTAGGACTGAAGTCTTTCTTCTTCATAACAAAATCTCCCACTGTTCCATGTTGAAATAAGCCAGTCTTTCCCCATTGATGTACAAATACAGAGACTTAAGAGATTGTCTTTACTTTACTAAAATATGGGCCGTAGTGTTAACAGATAACAAAATGATACTGAAGGATTTTATTCAATGTGTTATGTCTTCTGGCAAAGCTTTTGAAAGCCTTCTTTCCAGTATACCTTGATCTATGACTATCAGTGGCCCTGATGGTGCTGGGATGAATATATGCGATCTTCTGCATCGTAATTATTGGAAGAACAATTGCAAACTCCCTTATCCTTAAGAAGATTACTCTTCATAGAACCACACAAAAGCACTTGAAATATTCAGGAAATGATGAGGACAAGTTCCTTCAGTACTCTTACCCTCTTGACATGATGGTATTGCAGGGCCCCACTTTCCATCTGCTTGACATGAACTCCTTCCATCCATAGACATAGGGTAAGAACCTTCACCACAAATATAGAAAATATAGTCTCCATAGGCATAGGTGCATATACCAGTGAAATCTCTCCTTTCACTTACAATTTTGATTTTCTCCATATTTGGTGTTGGGCAGCATATCCCTGGGAGATAAAAAGAGATTCACCTGTTTCACCCTATGGGAGAGACACCTTTGGAGGAAGTCTTCTTTATGAAAGTCTATTTCATGAAAGACATTACTATTCAAACTCATTGAAACAAGATAGAATGTCACTTTCAGGAAAGAGGAAGAATTACTCAATAGGTAGGAAGTTTCCCTTGAATAAAGTCTAGAAATATTCAATGAAAAACAATACAGAAATACACTCAACAATTACAACACTACATAGTCATCAGTAGAATATATTTAACTTGTTATAAATATGATTTGAAAGAAAAAAGAGGAAATGCCAAATAAAGGGGTCAGAGTAAGTCTTTCTTTGATATTTTCCTCATTAAAACATATAGTTTGGGCCTGGACAGATATCATACAGACCCTAAGAGAACACAGATGTCAGCCCAGGCTACTATACCCAGCAAAACTCTCAGTTCTCATAGATGGAGAAAACAAGATGTTCAATGACAAAAACAAATTTCAACAATACCTACACACAAATCCAGTGTTACAGAAGACACTAGAAGGGAAAATACAACCCAAGAAAACTACCTACTTTCAAGAAATCACAGGAAATAATTAACCTCATGACAGTAAAACAAAAAGCAACAAAACACATAACCTTATGACCACATCCAACATCAAAATCAAAGGATCTAACAGCCACTGGTCATTAATCTCTCTCAACATCAATGGACTCAACTCTGCAATAAAAAGACACAGACTAACAGAATGGATGCATAAACAAAACCCAGCAATCTGTTGCATACAAGAAACACACTTAAGTCACAAAGATAGACATTACCTGAGGGTAAAGGTTTGGAAGACGGCTTTCCAAGCAAATGGACCCAAGAAGCAAGCAGGAATAGCCATTCTAATAGCTGGCAAAATAGAATTTCAACCAAAATTAATCAAAAGAGATGGGGAAGGACACTTCATAGTCATCAAGGGAAAATTCCACCAAGAAGACATCACAATCCTGAACATCTATGCCCCAAATACAAAGGCACCCACATTTGTAAAAAAGACATTAATAAAACTTAAACCACACATAGATCCCCACACATTAATAGTGGGAGACTTCAACACCCCACTCTCAACAGAGGACAGGTCAACCAGACAGAAATTAAACAAAGAAACAATGACTCTAACAGGGGTCATGAATCAAATGGACCTGACAGACATCTACAGAACCTTACACCCAAACACAAAAGAATTTACCTTCTTCTCAGCACCTCATGGAACCTTCTTTAAAATAGTCCATATAGTTGGTCACAAAGCCAGCCTCAACAGATACAAGAAGATTGAAATAATCCTCTGTATCCTGTCTGATCACCATGGAATAAAGCTGGACCTCAACAACAACAGAAATAGCAATAAGCCTAAGCACACATGGAAACTGAACAACTTGCTACTAAATGACAGCTGGGTCAGGGAAGAAATAAAGAAAGAAATTAAGGCCTTCCTAGAACTCAATGAAAATGAAGACACAACATACCCAAACTTGTGGGACAGAATGAAAGCAGTGCTAAGAGGAAAGTTCATAGCACTAAGTGCCTTCAAGAAGAAATTCGAGACAGCTCATTCAAGCAACTTAATGGCCCACTTAAAAACCCTAGAAAAAGAAGAAGCAGACACACCAAAAGGGAGTAGAGGGTGGGAAATAAACTCATGGCTGAAATCAATCAATTAGAAACAAATAAAACAATTCAAAGAATCAATGAAACCAAGAGCTGGTTCTTTGAGAAAATCAACAAGACAGACAAAACCTTAGCCAAGCTATCTAAAAGGCAGAGAGACACCATCCAAATCAACAAAATCAGAAATGAAAAGGGGGACATAACTACAGACACTGAGGAAATTCAAACAATCATTAGGACTTACTTCAAAAGTTTATACTTAATAAAATTTGAAAACCTAAATGAAATGGACAATTTTCTTGATCAATTCAACTTACCAAAGCTGAATCAAGACCAGGTAAATCAATTAAATAGTCCTATATCCCCCAAGGAAATAGAAGCGGTCATCAAAAATCTCCCATCCAAAAAAAGCCCAGGACCAGATGGTTTCAGTGCAGAATTCTACCAGACCTTCAAAGAAGAGCTAACTCCAATTCTCTTCAAACTATTCCACAAAATAGAAACAGAAGGAACATTACCAAACTCATTCTATGAAGCCACAGTCACCTTGGTACCTAAACCTCACAAAGACCCAACAAAGAAAGAGAATTTCAGGCCAATCTCCCTTATGAACATTGATGCAAAAATACTCAACAAAATACTTGCAACCAGAATACAAGAACACATCAAAGATATCATCCACTATGACCAAGTAGGCTTCATCTCAGGTATGCAGGGGTGGTTCAATATACAGAACTCCATCAATGTGATCCACCATATTAACAAACTGAAAGAAAAAAACCACATGATAATCTCCCTAGATGCTGAAAAAGCATTTGACAAAATCCAACATCCATTCATGTTTAAAGTATTGGAAAGATCAGGGATACAAGGCACATATCTAAAATAGTAAAGGCAATATACAGCAAGCCTATAGCCAACAGCAAACTGAACGAAGAGAAACTTAAAGCAATGCCACTGAAATCAGAGACAAGACAAGACTGTCCACTCTCTCCATATCTCTTCAACATAGTGCTGGAAGTCCTTGCTAGAGCAATAAGACAGTTGAAGGAGATCAAGGGGATACAAATTGGAACAGAAGAAGTCAAATTATCACTATTTGCAGATGATATGAGAGTATACCTGAGTGACCCTAAAAACTCTGCTAGGGAACTCCTACAGCTGATAAACACCTTCAGCAAAGTGGCCGGATACAAAATTAATTCAAAAAAATCAGTAGCCCTCCTGTATACAAAAGACAAAAGGGCTGAGAGAGAAGTTAGGGAAACAATACCCTTCACAATAGCCACAAAGGACATAAAGTACCTTGGAGTAACCCTAACCAAGCAAGTCAAAGACTTGTATGAAAAAAATTTCAAGTCTCTGAAGAAAGAATTAGAAGATATCAGAAGATGGAAAGATCTCCCATGCTCATGGCTTGGCAGGATTTACATAGTAAAAATGGCCATCTTACCAAAAGCAATCTACAGATTCAATGCAATTCCCATCAAATTACCAACACAGTTCTTTAAAGACCTTGAAAAATCATTCTCAACTTCATATGGAATAACAAGAAACCCAGAGTTGCTAAAACAATCCTCTACAATAAAAGATCTTCTGGAAGTATCTCCATCCCTAATCTTAAGCTGTACTATAGAGCAACAGTTATAAAAACTGCATGGTACTGGCATAGAAACAAAATGGTGGATCAATGGAACCGAACAGAAGACCCAGAAATAAACTCACACACTTATGGACACCTGATCTTTGACAAAGATGCCAAAACCATACAATGGAAAAAAGATAGCATCTTCAACAAATGGTGCTGGTCCAACTGGATGTCTACATGTAGAAAAATGAAAATAGATCCATACTTATCACCCTGCACAAAACTGAAGTCCCCCCCAGCGATGCACCTACTCCAACAAAGCCACACCTCCTAATTTTTCCTAAGTAAACTGGGGCCCAGTATCCAGACATATACACCTGTGGGGCCATTCTCATTTCAACCACCATGTGTATACCCGGAACCACCATTTTACATAAAAAGTGCCTTCACAATCAATGTGTTAAAGCAGGTCTTCAACTTGTGATCTCCCTTCCCCAGCAGGGAAAGTTGATATGGATACATAAAAATATATACATACAGAGATATACACATACAGAGATTTCTGAACATAGGTGCCTTACAAAGAAAGAGAGGTGCTGATAAATAAATAATTGAAGAGAGAGAAGGCTGATAAATAATTGAAGAGAGAGAAGGCTGATAAATAATTGAAGAGCGAGAAAGCTGATAAATAATTATGGAGCCAGTAATAAAAATCTCTCCTATCAAAGGGTGGAACAGATCCAGAAGATTCCACTTATACCAGTTCTTGGATTATATAAGAGGAGTTAAATACTATTACTGGTCACAGATAATATTATAATACATATAGAAAAAATTCCAATGATTCAATTAAGAAAGTGTTAGGAATATCAAGCAAATTATAAATTAATAATGGTTCATATTGTCAGTTTGCTAGGCCTTGTAGTCTCCTAGGTGATAAATCTCTACTCACACCTGTGAGAGATTATTTGGATAAGCTCAGCCTTTGAGTATGTCTGTAAGAAATTATATAGATTAGATTTAATGGATATGGGAAGACACATTGTAAACATGGGTAATACCATGCCATAGGCCATGGCTGAAGAAAAGGGAAATAAAAGAGCACTAGCATTCGGGACTATCTGGTTCCTGCCTACGGATGAAATGTGGTGTACTCTCTATAGACCTGCAAACCAAATAAACCTTTCCTAGCTTCCTGTGTTGCTTTCATCAGGCATTTTGTCTCAGCAATCAGAAAACTAAACAATCTAGAAAATTGGTACTAAGAAGTAGGGCTTTTGCTGTTATAATGTGAGTGTACTATATTTTGGGTTTTAGAACTGGTTTAGTTTGGGTTTTAAAACTGGAAACATGGAAGGGTTTCATGAACCATCAGACCCAGATCTCTGTAAACAGAACTTTAAAAAACATTATGGTGGGGGATTGTAAAACCAGAATGTCAAATTCAGGCTTTGGAGGACAGTTTATTATTAAGTTTCAGAGAACAACCAACAACTATATTGGGAACTGGGCTAGAGCCATTCATTTGCTATCCTAGCCAAGAACTTGGCTTCATTCTCCATGTGTCTTGAGAACTTGAATGCACCTTTGGACTCTACTCACCATCCCAGACTGAACTGTGGGCTCCAAAACAACACGACTGGGGTGGGAGGAAATCCCACTGTGGGGGAACGTCAGGCCTGACCTCAGGACACATAGCTAATCCCTGGAAAAGCTCCTGGGTCCCACAGGCTCCAGGCTGTAACCTCCTGCCACACACAG